GTGAATGGCCCCTCCCAGCTGGAGCCTGTTCCCAGTGTCCGTGTGCGCAAAGTGGCCAGATGAAGGGAAGAGCTAAAGAACAAGGGTCGACTTGAGAGGAAGGCCAGAGGTGGACGGTGAATGGCCCCTCCCAGAGGAAATAAAAGAGGAGCGAAAGGGGAATGGAGTTTGCAGGAGACCATTAGTTCACTTAATTGGTTCGTGACTCTCCGAGACTCCTTGCCAAGTTTTTCAGATCTCAGCCTGGCAGCTCTCCAAGCCAGATGAGGTCTGTGACTGTAAATCCTCCCTTCAAAGACTTTGCTGGAGGTGAATGAGCAGAATTCACAGTCAATAAAGCTAGGGAACCCTAACTAAGTAAAAGCTAGTTTTGGAAACTCTTCAACTGCATAAAAATCTAACTTAGAAACTCTTATAACAGTGTTAAAACTAGTTTGGCTGCCCGCATGCAAACCAGGGCATGGAGAAGGGAAAAGCCCCCAACTGGATTTGGCTTGAAACTTCATTTCAACTCCCCAAGATGGAAAATATATATATATATATATTTCCTCCTGAAGTTGGAAGTGCCGTACCTGGAAGAGAGCTTTGGCTGCGTCATAATCTTGGATGTCTTCGTAAACGCGAGGCTCCCCCTCGTTCAGGGCCATTCGGAAATCTCCAAACAGGATGGGGTCCCTGATTGCATTTTCAGCCGAGTCTTTGAAATTCGCTTCCAGCAGGTGTTGTATGTGGCCTTGAACCTTGGGAGAGTTCCAGAAAACCCACCGGTTTAACTCCAGAATTACTAACACGCATCAGTGGGAATTACAAACTCCGGAATTAGCAACCCCTGGAGAAGAGAATATTTGTAGCTCAGGGTGGAGCTGTGGGGGCCCCCTTGGTGCTCTGTGAGCTTGATGGCTTCCTTGTAGACGTTTCGTCACCCAACTAGGGAATGTTATCAGTGCTAGAAGGGAGTAAGGTTTGTGGAGAAGAGGAGGAGGATTGGGAGAGGATGACTGTGTTCTTGGAGCTTGGTGGTTTTCTTGCAGACTTTTCATTACGAAGGTACATTATCAGGGATAGAAGGGAGTAAAGTTTGTGGAGAGGAAGAGGAGGAAGAAGAGGAGACGGAGGAGGAGGACTGTGGGGTCCTTGGTGAGGTTTGTGGAGAAGAAGAGAAAGAGGAGGAGGGGGAGAAGGAGGATCATGGGGTCCTTGGTGCTCTGTGAGCTTGGTGGCTTGTTTGTAGACATTTCAACACCCAACTAGGTAACATCATCAGTGTTGGAAGGGAGGAGGAGGACGGAAGACTGTGTGTCCTTGATACTCTCTGAGCTTGCTTGTTTTGTTGCAGGGATTTCTTTGCCCAACTAGGTAACACCACCAGTGCTAGGAGGAGAGAGGGGCTTTCATTTATATAAACAGAGAGCAAACCCCACTCCCCTTCTAGCACTGATGATGTTCCCTAGTTGGGTCATAAAATGCCTGCAACAAAACAACCGAGCTCAGAGAGATCGCCAAAAGCCCCACGTTACCAGAAGTAGCTGGACTTCGCGCAAAATTGCCCCCGAAACATAGCAGGAACCTCACAGGCCATCAGGCACAGCTGATGGTCTAGGCATTCGTTTACTAGCGGTGTGGAAGAAACGGCCTACACCGGTAGCGTTTTCATCCCTGCTATTGGTCCTCATGGGACCAAGGAACGGGGCCTTGTGGGAAGAGGCAGGCCTGGGGATGCTCGAGCCAAAAGTTGACTCCAACTAAGGATTTCTCTGCCAGGAAAGGTCTGCTCGGATCCTGCCTCAGAGTTCATTTGGGGAAAAAAAAAAAAAAAAATTCAAAAATGCCATCTCCCGAACTTGGCCCAACGGAAGTGTACGTTGGGAGTTTCGAAAAAGAAGAACCTACCAGGGCTTTGTCTGCCTTGTTGATCAGCCGGTCGTGGAAAACCCGCAGGCATTCGTTCCTCCACACCCTCACCATCTGGGTGACTGTCTGGAACCTGCGGCAAAGCTTTCAGTCAGATCAGCCAAGACGAGGGCGTGGAAGGCCACGTCCAACGAATCATCATCATCATCATCGTAATCATTAAGAGCCGCAGGGGCGCAGTGGCTAGGTGCAGTACTATAGGAATAGCAGTTAGACTTATATACCGCTTCATAGGGCTTTCAGCCCTCTCTAAGCGGTTTACAGAGTCAGCATATCGCCCCCACAGTCTGGGTCCTCATTTCACCCACCTCGGAAGGATGGAAGGCTGAGTCAACCTTGAGCCGGTGAGATTTGAACAGCTGAACTGCAGATAACAGTCAGTTGAAGTGGCCTGCAGTACTGCACCCTAACCACTGTGCCACTGCGGCTCTTAATAGTACTTAATAGTACTGCAGGCTACTTCAGTTGATCACCGGCTGCCAGCAGTTCGGCAGTTCGATCCTGACCGGCTCAAGGTTGACTCAGCCTTCCATCCTTCCGAGGTGGGTGAAATGAGGACCCAGATTGTTGGGGGGCAAGAGGCTGACTCTGTAAATCGCTTAAAGAGGGCTGTGAAGCACTGAAAAGTTGCATATAAGTCTATTGGTATTCCTTCCTTCCTCCCTCCCTCCCTCCTTCATTCCTTCCTTCCTTAGAATGCAGTATTGCAGGCTAATTCTGCCAACTGCCAGCAGTTCGATTCTGACTGAACTCCAGGTTGTCTCAGCCTTCCGTCCTTCCGAGGTGGGTCAAATGAGGACCCAGATTGTTGGGGGCAAAAGGCTGACTCTGTAAGAAGCTTAGAGAGGGCTGTAAAAGCACTGTGACGCGGTATATAAGTCTATTGGTATTCCTTCCTTCCTTCCCTCCCTCCTACCCTCATTCCTTCCTTCCTTCCTTCCTTAGAATGCAGTATTTGCAGGCTAATTCTGCCAACTGCCAGCAGTTCAATTCTGACTGAACTCCAGGTTGACTCAGCCTTCCCTCCTTCCGAGGTGGGTCAAATGAGGAGCCAGATTGTTGGGGGCAAGAGGCTGACTCTGTAAACTGCTTAGAGAGGGCTGTGAGTGCACTGTAAAGTTGTATATAAGTCTATTGATATTCCTTCCTTCCTCCCTCCTTCATTCTTTCCTTCCTTCCTTAGAATGCAGTAAAGCACTGTAAAGCAGCATATAAGTCTATTGCTATTGCTTTGCTCTTCCTTTTCTCCTTCCTTCCTTCCTTCCTTCCTTCCTTCCTTCCTTCCTTCCTTCCTTCCTTCCTTCCTTCCTTCCTTCTTGCAAATGGTTAGAATGCAGCACTGCAGGCTAACTCTGCCAACTGCTGGCAGTTCGATCCTGACAAGCTCAAGGTTGTAAAAGCACCGCAAAGCGGTATATAAGTCTAAGTGCTATCGCTAATAACCTTCCGAAGACACTGGGGGTCAATAATACATTCTCTTCTTCCCCATTAAACAGTAATATTAAAATGATTACAGGTAGCCCTTGACTTAAAACCACAATTAGGGACCAAAATTCTCAAGTCACCTGATTTTATGACTTTATTTTTTCCCCCACGGTTGTTAAGCAAATTCCGGCGGTTGTTAAGCAAATCGCCCAATTGTTAAGCCAATCTGGATTCCCCCAATGGACTTTGCTTGTTGGAAGTCATCCGGGAAGGTCACAAAATGGAGATTATGTGGTCTGGAGCTGCCACAGCTATTTGAATGGCCTATCGCACACTCACCGTTCTGGGGTGGTCTGAACCAACCCGTTGTACACCCTGGAGAGATCGCGCAGGTTAAAGATGTAGTGGAACTTCGAAGGCGTTGGTGGCAGGTCGCGGACGATGGTTTCGTAAAGGGTCAGAGTACAGGTGGTGATTTTGTCCGCAATGGCAGAGATGGACTCGTCAAAGGTCTGCCGATAAAAAGAGGGAAGATCTTTCCATTAAAAAAGAGAGAGAGAGAGAGAAAAAAGAGAGAGAGAGAACTGTGAAAAAATATCACCATTTTTGTGGTCTATTTTTCCTTGGTTTCTATTTTTATTACAAATACAGTAGAGTTGGAAGGGACCTTGGAGGTCTTCTAGTCCAACCCCCTGCCTAGGGAGGAAACCCTACACCATTTCAGACAAATGGATATCCAACATCTTCTTAAAGACTTCCAGTGTTGGGGCATTCACAACTTCTGGAGGCAGGGAGTTCCACTGGTTAATTGTTCTCGCTGTCAGAAAATTTCTCCTCCGTTCTAAGTTGCTTCTCTCCTTGATTAGTTTCCACCCATTGCTTTTCTCCTTCCCGATTAATACAAATAGTCCCGGACTTAAAACGGTTTGTTTAGTGACTGTTCAAAGTTACAACGGCACTGAGAAAAAAGACTTATGACTGCTTTTCACAGTTATGACCTTTCCGACATCCCTGTGATCATGTGATCAAAATTCAGATGCTCGGCAACTGGCATGTAATTATGAGGGTTGCAGTGTTTCCTGGGGGGGGAGGGGTCATGTGATCCCCTTTTGCGACCTTCTGACAGGCAATGGGGAATCCAGATTCACTTAACAAAGGGGTGACTAACTTATCAACTGCAGCGATTTGCTTAACAACTGTGGCGAGAAAGGTCGTAAAATGAGGGAAAAACCTCAGTCAACAAATGTCTCATTGAACACCAGAAATGTTGAGCTCCATCCTGGTTGTAAATCGAGTACCTGTAAACTGATCTACACTGACTCAATCTCTTTTTCTCTGTCCTCTCTTCCCCTCCCTCTCCATCCCTCCCTCTCCATCCCTCCCTCTCTGTCTCTCCTCTTCCCCCCTCTTTCTCTCTCTCTCCTTCCCTCCCTCTCTCCTCTCCCTCCCTCTCTCCTCCTCTTTTTCCCTCCCTCTCTTTCCCTCCCACTCTCTCCTTCCCCCTCCCTTCTCCCTCCCTCTCTCTCCTCTCTCTCCCTTTCTCCCTCCCTCTCTCTCCTTCCCTCCCTCTGTCCTTCCCTCCCTCTCTCTCCTCCCCTCCCTCTGTCTCTCCTCTCTTCCTCCCTCCCTCTCTCCTTCCTTTCCTTTCTCCCTACCTCTCTCCTCTCTCCCTCCCTCTCTCCCTCCTTCTCTCTCCTCTTCCCTTTCTCCCTCTCTCCCTCCATCTCTCTCCCTCCATCCCTCCCTCTCCCCGCGCTCCCTCTCTGTCTCTCCTCTCTCCGCCAAGGAATCCAACTTACCGCCAGGTGCCCTTTCAAAATGGAGGCATAAATCAAGTGCAGGGACACTTCCGAAGGGAAGGGCACGTTGAACACGCTGAAGAGCGAAATGAAGCGCGGGTCCACTTCGTTACGGCCGCCCCCTGCTTTGCCCATGGCGGCAATGAAGCCCAAGTCGCGGAGGTATTTGCAGTTCATCTCCTTCCCCCGGTCGTACAAGGCGCCCTTCTCCAGCAGCAGTTTCAACAGAGCGATGGGCTGCTGGGTGCCGTATTCATCCACCTTTGTGGAAATGGAAGAAAAGAAGGGCTGAGAGACCAGGGGTAGCCAGCCTGGTCTGCAGATGTCCTGACCGAGGCTTCCTGAGAGCCTGAAGCCAACTCCTTGTCCCGACAAAAATAACCCTTTTTATTAATTGACTGTGAATTCTGCTCATTTGCCTCCAGCAAAGTCTTTCAAAGGAGGATATATGGTCACAGACCTTATCTGGCTTGGAGAGCTGCCAGGCCGATCTCTGCAGAACTTGGCAAGGAGTCTCAGAAAGTCACAAACCAATGAAGTGAACTAATTGTCTCCTGCAAACTCCACTCCCCTGTCGCTCCTCTTTTATCCCCTCTGGGAGGGGCCATTCATCATCCATCTGTGGCCTCACTCCAAAGTCAAACCTTGTTCTTTAGCTGTTCCCTTCCTCTGGCAACTCTGCGCATGCACNTTGCTATTGCTATTGCTATTGCTATACGTTCTAATCGGGGCTGGACCTTAACACTAAGGTCAACAGCCTCAGGCCTGTCAGAACAGCCAGGTTTTAACAGCTTTCCTGAAGGCCATGAGGGTGGTGGAAGTCTGGACCTCTGGGGGTAGCTGATTCCACAGGGTCGGAGCAGCCACAGAGAAGGCTCTCCTCCGGGGGCCCGCCAGCCGACACTGACCGGCTGACGGGATCTGAAGGAGGCTTACCCTGTGGGATCTTATCGGCCGTTGGGAGGTGTATGGCAGTAGGCGGTCTCACAGAAAAAATCTCGCAGATTTTATGCTATGCCTGACCCCAAATTTCAGCCTGCAATTGGAAGGAATATCTGTCGGGGTCAAAATAAGCAAACCGCCTTTAATGGCCTCTCTATAGTGGAAGAGCACCGCTCAGCGAAAGGAAGGTCCCAAATGAAACATTTGGGGTGAATATATAATATTTATTAGTTTCCTTAGTTTTCTGGTTCATTCAGTCTCATCCTTCCTCCATTCTGGTGATGGAGATGAAGCTGCAAATCACAGCAACAATAGCATCAACCGAGCAAAAAGGAAACACATATGTTCCTCATAAACCGTCTCCATTCCCACAGTCCCCTTGGCTTGTTCTCCTTAGCAGCCAAATCATCATCCATTCCACCCCGAAAGGGAACCATGGAACCACTCAGCCTCCCTTCCCCACCAAAAAGGAATGAGAAGGTTCCTCTCTGGAAGCTCCTCTGCCAATAGAGGCTCAGAGGCGAGACCTGTACCCACTCCACTTGAGCAGGAAGTCCCTCTCCTTCCTCCTGGCCTTCCTTAAAACCCCCCGAGGGCTCCCACATGGCCGTCACCCTCACAAGGTCACAAGGAGTTCATTGAAGAAAACTCCGCCTAGCTGAATCCGATGCCTCCGAGCTTTATGGCTCTGACCCCAATTTCTAGTGAAATTGAAGAGGTGAGGAGGGTTCCTCGTTCCATGCCGTTCATCACGGAGCTGCCTTTGGTTTTGTTGACTCACTCAATGCCCCTCTCTGTGAATTGACAAAAATGGGGGATTTACGAGCTGCTCATTGCACACTTGGCCAAGACGGAGGTTCAGCTCCCATGGCCATTGTTTATTGATTTATTTTTTGTTTATCAAATTTAGATACTGCCGGTCTCCCTCTCATACTTGGTATGCCAGACCCAACCTGACTCATCAGGCGTTGATCAGTCAATAACCAATTATGTCACCAAATGAACCCAATCCTGCCCGCCTGATTCATGCCGCATTTCGGGAGACTTCGGGCCGTTAGGGAGAGAAGCTCACCAGCCTTGCAAATTCTGGAAAGTGCTCTGTTGGGGGCACTTTTCCCTTTCTTCATTAGATGCGCAGAGCCACATCAAACAGATCAAAATGCAGCGAATGAAAAATTGATCACTTTCCTCTTAATTCTGGCAAAGCCTCCCATGACACTTGCGTCACTGAAGCAAGGAGAGACGCTTGTCTTCACCGATGGAGATGCAGAAGAGCTGCGGTCTCGGGGCTCCTTCCCGAATTCTTCTCGGAGGGACCCACCCCACCTGTGCCTCTGTTCTCCCCTTCAAGGCTAAGCACATGTGAAGGAATTCCAGGGCAACTCTGGCTAACAGCCAACCGTGGAAGGCAGTTTGCTGACCAGGCAGGATTTATATTAGAAATCATTCTTGCTGATGGCAGCACAGTAAAAGTGGTTTTTTTTAATATCCAGTTAATTTCCAGGTGAGGCTGCAGATCTGTAGGAAGGAGAACGGTCCAGGTCCAGACTAGGTTCAGCTGGATCCATGGGCACTGGCACAGAGGGGATGCTCTTAAGAGCCGCTTCATGGCCCAGGCAAGGATGGAAAACCAGGAAGGGGGCTCAGCCAACGCCAGAGCTACCTGCTGCCTCTTCAACATCACCTCCAGGGATGCTCTTCCAACCTTGCTGTAGAACAATCTGAACATCCAAGAAGCCATGTGGCCTGCAGAACCGATGAGAGGAGATCTCTCTCCTCGCCAGCCCTGGAGGATGGAGTCTCTGATGACATTAAGATCCATCCTACAAGTGATGTGGGGAGTGATCCCAGAATGCCCCAGCCAGCTATACTGGGAGTTGAAGTCCACAAGTCTCAAAGTTGCCAAGATTGGACACCCCTGGCTTAGGCAGTCAAAAGAAGAACTATTACACTCACTCACCCCCCTCCCCACTTAAGCTGGAAGTTAAGACTTCAGGACCTTGGACAGCCCCCTATCATTTTAGCAATAGCAATAGCAGTTAGACTTATATACCGCTTCCTAGGG